GCCAATCCTGTCACATTCTTTTTTGATAAAGGTGAGTCTAAATCTTTTTGGTTTAGTGCTGGCCACCTATGGGTACTTGATTTTAGTGGTTGAGACTTAAAAGGTAACTTAGAAGATATGACAGAGCTCTTGTCTGGTTCTCTCTTGAGATGAGCCACCGTGTTGGGAGGAAGCCCAAGATGTGCAGAGAAGTCATGTGTAGTGGCCCTTGCCTCCCCACCTGCATCCTCCTCACCTGCATCCTCCCACCTGCATCCTCCCCGCCTGCATCCTCCTCACCTGCATCCCCCCTGCATCCTCCCCTTTGCATCCTCCCCTTTGCATCCTCCCCACCTGCATCCTCCTCACCTGCATCCTCCCCACCTGCACCCTCCTCACTTGCATCCTCCCTGCCTGCATCCTCCCTGCATCCTCCGCCCTGCATCCTCCCCTTTGCATCCTCCCCACCTGCATCCTCCTCACCTGCATCCTCCCCACCTGCATCCTCCCCACCTGTATCCTCTCCCCCTTCATCCTCCCTACCTGCATCCTCCTCACCTGCATCCTCCCCACCTGCATCCTCCCCACCTGCATCCTTCCCCTGCATCCTCCCCTTTGCATCCTCCTCACCTGCATCCTCCCCATCTGCATCCTCCCCACCTGCATCCTCCCCTTTGCATCCTCCCCACCTGCATCCTCTCCCCCTTCATCCTCCCTACCTGCATCCTCCTCACCTGCATCCTCCCCACCTGCATCATCCCCACCTGCATCCTCCTCACCTGCATCCTCCCCACCTGCATCCTCCCCACCTGCATCCTCCCCACCTGCATCCTCCCCACCTGCATCCTCCCCTTTGCATCCTTCTCACCTGCATCCTCCCCATCTGCATCCTCCCCACCTGCATCCTCCCCACCTGCATCCTCTCCCCCTTCATCCTCCCTACCTGCATCCTCCTCACCTGCATCCTCCCCACCTGCATCCTCCTCACCTGCATCCTTCCCACCTGCATCCTCCTCACCTGCATCCTCCCCCCCTGCATTCTCCGTATGCAGCAGCCTGCTGTCTAGTTTCTTCATTAGGGTTTACACATGATGCCTTTTGAACTTGTTCTTTTTTACCTCTAATTTAAGGTAGGAGCTGAAGTTGTGAGATATTCCTTCTTTCTTTTATAGATTGTTGAAACTATACATTTCATTTTAAATATGACTTTAGTGGTCACTTGTAGTTGGGATGTAGCTCAGCTCCCTTCCCTGTACCATGGCCTGAAAATTCTTTCAAGCCAGTATGATGGGAACATCATGAGGTTCACCTCATTTGTTCCTCATTTATCAGGAATTATTGTTTGTCACCTGATATCCAGTGGTCCTCAAACCATGTTCCATGTATGTCATCTCCCCTACCCCCAGTCTTTCTGGTGTGCAGGTAAATATGGTTTTTATTAATCTATCATACTTGGGAGCAAAAGTTCATAGGCATTTTAAAATAAATAGTCCCATTTGTAGGCAATATTTTCATTATAGTGTGCTTATTATTTGGCATATTTATCCTAAAATGCCTCTTTTTTTCTAATTTTTCAGGCACCAGCCCTGGTATTCTATTCACCATGACTCAGTGTCATGTGGTATTTGGACACTCACTCTTCTCCACGGACTTTTAGTTTACCACCATCATTTACTTATTCATTGTGTTTGTTTGACTTCTGTTCGCTCTCCTCTCTATATGGAGAGCTTGACTGACAGCCAGTTTAGCCAAAATGGAAAGCTCCAGGTTCAGTGAGAGACCCTGCCTCAAAAGATAAGGTAGAGAAATGATTGAGGAAGACATCCTGATATCAACTTCTGGCCATCACATGCTCTCATGGGCTAGTGCACCTGCACACACATAACGTACGCATACACACGCGTGCGCGCACACACACACACACACATACACACACACACACGTACACACACACACACACACACACACACACACACACACGCACGCACGAGCATCCCCCCCCCCACATGCACATGCGCAAAGAAAGAAAAGCTAGGAAGCTATGTTTGTTCAGTGTTGCTACCCAGGAGCTGTTCATTTTTTTTTTCTTTTTAAGACAAGGTCTTTCACTGCCCTAAAAGTTGCTGATGAGGCTAGGCTGACGGCTGGCGAGCCCCAGTGATCCTCTTCTATGTACCCAGTGCTGGAATTACAAGAATGTATCAGTCACTCTTCTGTACTATGCTAAAACACCATGGCAAGGCAGCTTATGTAAGAAAGAGTTTTGGCTTGTGGTTCCATAGGGATGGGCAGCAGGGGCAGAAGCAGCATGCTCACATCTCAATTGTGAGCATGAAGCGGAGAGAGAAAACCAAAAGCTTTTAATTCTCAAAACCTGACCTCAGAGGTCTACTTCCTCCAGCAAGGTAGCTCGCCTGAACCTCTGTAGACAGCACCACTGACTGGAGACCAAGTGTTTAGATGGCTGAGCCTGTAGGGGGCAGTCGCGTTCAAACCGCCACACAGCCACCACGCTCAGCTCTTTACGTGGGGTCTAGCATCAAACCCAAGAGCCTTCAACGCTTGTGTGGCAAACACTCTGCTGACTGAGATATCTCTCCAGCCTCCATTTAGTCATCTTGAATTTCATTTCCCTCTAGTAAACTGCAAGATAACATCTTCCCTGCCTAGGTTTTATGACAATTAGAGATGATATATAGAAAACATCTGGCACTATAGTAGGGTGACCCAGGACCTGCTAGAATTATTGCTGTCATTTTCAGTATCAATAACATATTTGCATACCTGAATATGTTAATTGTGATTCTTCATTTACTGGAAAGTGGTCACTATCTGACAGGTATGTTTAAGCTTTAATTACTCTTTTAAACCTGTGCATATTGGAGTAATGGGGAAAATGAATTCTTGACATTTACCTCCAGGAAGAAATGAGGCTGGGTAGATGTCACGGGAACTGAAGGCTCAGTAGAAAATAAAAAAATCTGAAGTTCCTCATGCCTGAATGGAAATTTATACTCATCCACACGTGTAGGAAAGATCCAGTAACCTGCCTATATCAGCCACCAAGAGAACTGTGCTAGGTTTACAAATAAAATATACATTTTAAAACACTAGCTTGCAGCCAGGCTGTGATGGTGCACGACTTTAATCCAACACTCAGAAGGCAGAGGCAGGCAAATAGATCTCTGTGAGTTTGAGGCCAGCCTGGTCTACAGAGCAAGTTCCAAGAAAGTCACGGTTACACAAAGAAATCTTGTCTCAAAAAAACCAAACCAAACAAACCAAACAAACAAAAAACAGTAACTTGCATTACCCTCCCCTTTTTAAGAACATGATTTGAATGGTGCAGTTGAAGCCAAAAACTCAATTGCTTATTAAATCAAAAAGTAAGGAACTTTAGACAGTTGATCCAGATAGCTCAGTTAAACCCTTCTGGAAACAGCCTCATTAATAGAACCAGATGTGTGCTTCCATAATGATTCTAAATATAGTTAAGCTGAAAATGAAGGTTAACCATTGTGGTATTTTGGATGAGAATGGTACCCCTAGAGTCATATGTTTGAATGCTTGGTCTCCAGTTGGTGGAACTCTTTGGGAAGGATTAGGAGGTGTGGCCTTGTTGGAGGAAGTATGTGACTAGGGGTAGGGTTTGAGGTTTCAAAAGCCCACACCATTCCCAGTCTGTTGCTCAAATCCTAATGGTCTTTGAATAAAAACCCAAAGTGAAAGCTGAAAGATCAGAGAGACAAAGGAACAAGCCACTAGAGAAACTTCTCAACCACTACTGAATCCTCAGGCTGAATGGAAGATGAGATCCTATCTCTGTGAATACTAGACTGCAAGCCTCTGAGTCCTCAGCTGAAAAGGCTTTAGTTCCTGTCTCCTCAGGCCTTATATACCTTTTCTCCGCCCAGCCATATCACTTCCTTCCTAGTGCTGGGATTAAAGTCGTGTGATTCCTAAGTACTGGGATTGAAGGTTTGTGCCACCACTGCCTGGCTCTTGTTTCTTCCTAGACTGAATCAATCTCATGTAGTCCAGGGTGGCTTTTAACTCACAGAGATCCAGACAGATCTCTGCCTTCTGAGTGCTAGGATTAAAGGTGTGTGCTACCACTGCCTGGCATCTATGTTTAATCCAGTGGCTTGTTCTGTCCTCTGATCCTCAGGCAAGCTTTATTTGATACACAATATACCACCACATCAGTCTCTCTCTCTCTGCCTTGTGCTTTGTGGATCAGATGTAAGATCTCAGATATTGCTCAAGCTCCATGCCTTCCTGCCAGCCTGCTGCCATGGTCTCCACCATGATGTTTATGGACTCCATGAGCCCAAATTAAATGCTTTTTTTTTTTAAAGATTTATTTATTACATATACTGTGTTCTTCCTGCATGTATGTCTCCATGCCAGAAGAGGGCACCAGATCACATTATAGATGGTTGTGAGCCACCATGTGGTTGCTGGGAATGGAACTCAGGACCTCTGGAAGAGCAGCCAGTGCTCTTAACCTCTGAGCCATCTCTCCAACCCTAAATGCTTTCTTTTATAAGTTGCTTTGGTCATGGTGTCTCTTCACAGCAATAGAAAAGTATCTAAGACAACCATCCCACCAGTAAACACAACCACAATGAAATTACTGCCCTTGGAAAGCTTACCTTCGTGTGCATGTGTGCGTGTGTGTGTGCGCGCACACACACACGAGAGTATACATGCAACAGTAGCATGTTACAGAAGCATCCATATAATCAATTACACACAATAGGTTAGTATGACTTCCTTAAAGGCTCAACAAGGAAGAGGTTGTAGGCTTGCCACTGTAGACTCAAGAGCAGCTCCTTGAGTGCATTCTGGCCTTGTGCTTTTTAGTCTTTCCTGTGACAAACTGTTTTCTTTGCTGCTTTGGTCTGAGGGAGGCTTGGGCTTTTTTCTAGAAGCATGTGTTATGAAAGTAAAGGCCAACTGACCCCCAAAAGAGACTGAAATGATATCTCTAGGGATCTAATTGCGTGTGAGTATTTTCTGGAGAGGAAGATGTTGGAATTCAGGAACATCTTGGAGAAGGAGAATTGGAGGGGAGCTTCAGCATCTCCCGTGACACGCAGACTCCAGGTGTGTATCCTCTAATGTGGAGAGAGGCTGCTTGACCACAAAGCACAATACTTACCGGGTTTTGTTTGTGTGGCTCTTGGGTAATTGCTGACTGGGTACTTTAGAGAAATGGCTAAGTAGCTTTTGAATCTGGGGTTAAGGACGTTTTTTGGATCTCTTTTCTTTGTCGATTTTTGGATCTAGACTTCCAAGCTGTTTCAGAGCTCCAGCAGGAAATTTAGATTTAATCTCAAGAGTCAGTGTTTTGTCTGGTGTCTCTTCTAATGGAACGCAGATGTTAGGATGGCTTTGTTTGATTTGAACACTCCTTGACTCGGCTCTATTCCTCTCCTCTTTGTAATGGAAACAGTCTAACTCCAGTGCGCACTAAACTCAGAAAATACAAGTTGTAATCTTGAGTATGTACATGGGGAGGGGATAGATTTAGGCTATTTACATAGACGACAAACCCCTAAACTGTTGCAGTGTTCGAGGGAGAAACATCTCCTGGGGGTGGGGGAAGGGACACAGAAAATCAAACAGAAAAACGAAGTGTTCATTGGAAAATGCCCCTCCTAAGTGTCCTTGTTTTGAGTCGTGTCTGTTCATTACCTGGATGGTCTGTAGTGTGGCTGGGACACCACTTTCCAGCGCATTCTGTGTTCACGCTGTCTGTACTTTCTCCTTTCAACTGCGCTGTTTGACAAGTTTGCACAGATCATCTCAGTGACCGTCCCAGCATATAACCCTTTCTCATCAGCTTCCCAGAGGAGATGAGCATGTGACCGGGGACTGTGATATACTGAACCCAGTCATATTCTCCTGTTGTTGCTTAAACAACTATCTGGGTTTTTATTTATTTATTTATTTTTATTTTTTTATTTTACAACTATCTGGGTTTTTATTTCAGCTTGGTGACAAGTTTATTTGGGAGGAAAAAGAACTCACTGTATAATGTGGACACAACTGTGAGCCTCTGTATGTGGTTTTTATATTGTTTCTTTATTGGTCTAGTGACCTGATCTTCCAATAGTCTAAAAAATGCGTCATAAAGTATGCTCCCTTTAGATTTATGTGATCCCAGGCATTTTTGTTTATTTATGTTACTGAGGAAGATAAACACATACATATGTCCTCAAGCACTACAGATATTTTTGCTCTGGCAGTTAAGGCTAACTATGCCATAGTCAGAGCTGTCCAGAGATGGAATGGTGGCTTCTCCTGGGATGTAGTAGCTATTGGTCAAAGCAGCCAGGTGACTGGCATCATTCTGGATGTGTCCAGGTAACCTCATGTGTTGGGTGAACTTTTCCCGAGGACAAACCAATGTTCACTCACTCTAGGTAGGGCATCAATGACAAATGATCCTACCCAAGTGTAGCTTGGTGAACCAATAAGTCTAATTGGGGTTCATCACAGGAGGAGCATGGGCAACTTACAGGCAGTTATACTATTGAAGAAAAAAACCATCTCTCTCTTCCTTAGCAACCCTTAACTGCCTGTATCTCTTCAGGAAGACATGGTGCCTCTGGAGCTTCTCCCTACTAACAACTGTCTAGACATCCTCTGGGACTAGCAAGGTCTTGTGATCCCCTCCCCTACTCCATGGTAGGAAATTAATGTGCCCAGACTTCTTCAGGTCTCCTACAAGTAATCACAGCTGCTGAGAGTTCAAGAGGGTAATGACCATATCATGTACAGAAGACTGCATTCCATGACAGAGATCTAGCCAAGGCAGCTTGGCTGGCTGGCTGGTCTATATGACTTCCATGGCCCCTTGTAGCACTTAGCTCAGTACTCTCGGCACGTATCTGTGGAACTTGATTATTTAATCAGTTGGAAGAGCTGTTCACATCTCCTCTGTTGTGTACCAGTGAACATGCCAATGTTACATGTGGTAGGTAGTTGTGGTGTGTAGAATCAGCAATCTGTGCAAAGCAAGATTTAAAATTATTTATGGTTTTGGTGCTGACATTTTCTCTGAAATTTAAAGTTTCTATCATGCTCTTTAGAAATGGGAGGCATCTAGTTTTAAAAAGCTCAAACAACACATATCAGTTGGTACTTCTAAAATAATAATAGAGACTATAGTAATGACAATATTTGCTGTGTTAGTGGTGCCACTGTCACTGAGGGCAGCTAATTAGTGTGTCTGGTAAGGAACTTTGTTATTTTAAAATAAGGCAATAGACTATTGCTATAAGTTTTACTTTGGTACAATTTGTAATTGCTTTCTCCCTGCCTCCTGCTTGTCACACACAAAGCCTCTGTGCATCCTTGCATTTAGGCTGGCTCTGCAGATTTATACAGCAGGATATACCTAACAAGGTAAATAGTATGTATCGATGAGGAAAGGAAATGGCTATTGGTTGAGAACAGCTGGAACTAGAATGCCAGACATGAACTCCACTGGCTGTGCTGCGGCCAGTGAGTCTCCAGCTTTTTAGATTATTTGGAAAAACACTTTGGATCTCTAAAGTACTGCTTTCATAGTCCTCTGCCTACAGAGGAACACCCCCCTCTTTTCTCCATATACATATGGTTTCTCTCTCTGGTTTTTTGAGACAGGGCTTCTCTGTGTGTCCCTGACTGTCCCGGAACTCACTCTGTAGACCAGGCTGTCCTCGAACTCACAGAGATCCACCTGCCTTCTGAGTGCTGGGATAAAGGGGTGCGCCACCACCAGCTGGCTAGAAATATATTTTCTGAGAGGGATGGCTGCTCCCAGCCGGACTCAGGGCATTTGTGGAATGAGGTGGGGAAGTGGGATAAAGGAAACACCAAATCTTCGGACCCTCCTTTCTCACATGCACTATGACTTTCACCCTTGTCCAGTGGGTGATGGGATATCAGGGGTGGGAGAAGAAAGAGCAGCAATGCAGGGAGACCAGGATGTGCTCAACAGTGAGGACGGAGATGGTTTCCTAAGGTAGGATTTAGCTCAGAGACTTGTGTATCACACTTCTGAGAATTTGTAGGAAATCTGCCGTGTGTGTGTGTGTGTGTGTGTGTGTGTGTGTGTGTGTGTGTGTGTGTGTGTAAGGCTGATCTAAAGAGGACCCTAAAGAGCTTGTATGAAGCTTTGCTCCCTTCAATGCCTCACACCTTCTTGTTTTCTCTCCTTACTGTCTCTGTGGCCTTTTCCCACGTGACATGTAGGTCAGGCAACTCAGGGTGTATATTCATATCTGGAATGCTTTCTCTATTGTGAATAAAGGCCACAAGACTTCAGTAGGTCATATTTCTGACAAATGCTCTTCCAAAGTAGTGGTGTGAGTCTTTGAACCAAGATTGCTTGGATCAGCTTGGCCATCTTCAACACTGCATATTTCATAGCTGTCTGTTTTTGGCAACAGCAGGTCGTGCCTCACAGGGCTGGGTAGTTAATGTGTTGTGCTTTCTGGATCTTATTTAAACTTAAAGTTGTATGTATACAGAAGATTGTTATGGTTTCATTGTGAAGCATCCCCCACAGGATCATGTGTTTGCATATCTGGTCCCCAGCAGATGGCACCGTTTTGAGAGCTGAGGACTATTTATGATGGAGGTCCCCGATGGCAAAAGGAAATCAGTAAGGGAGACCTTTGAGGTTTTTAGCTGGCCCTGCTTCTGGTCCCACTTTCTTCTTCCTGTGGCCACCATGATGTGGCCAGTCACCCTGTACTTCTGCCACATGAACTGAACTGTTCCTTCCAGCATGTTCTTTCTACAATGATGGACTAACATGCCATGAAACTGTGAGCCAAATTAAACCCTTCCTTTCTAAGGTTGCTTCTGTGAAGTCTTTTTGTCACAGTGATGAGAAAAATTTACTAATACAACTCATTACTGAAGTCTTTGGATCTATAGAACTCAAATTATCAGGTGTTTTGACGTTCATACCTGCTAATAATTATAAGGTGTCATGCAAATTTACTTATGGAGGACCTAGCAAAACTCATTCTGTAAAGGATGCCATCAATTAAGTTATCCCAGTTTGGCTGACTTTGAGTTTAGTTTGCCTAATCCAAGAGAGGTGTATTTCAAGAGAGGTATATTTCAACCATAGTGTCAAGAGGACATCTGAGTGTGACATTCTTGTCAGGCACTCTGACACCACATGTAGATGTAGGGAAAATCTACTGTATGCCTGGAAGAGAGTAAGTGAACAAGGCAAGCACTATCCTGGTATCATCATGAAGATGATTTTGATTCCAAGGACTCTGTGGAGGATTGCTTAAGGATGTCAAAGCTCCTGAGTTGCATTTTGAGAATGACTGGTGTAGAAGATTGCTATGTTTTTCTCACTTGGCCTTTTATTTTTCTTGTTCATGACCTTTGGGTTGTAGTCATGTGGTTTTATATAAGGAAAGTCTATTTAAAACACTCCTGTGTAATATTTGTTGGTAGGCTTGATTCAGGTTCTAAGTTTTAGCCTATGATAAAGTGGTAGTTTTTAACAATTGTGATGCTTGCCTTCCATGCCCAGAGTTAGCCATTCTTCATTTCTTCCTCATCTTTCTCATGCAGACCTCTTAGACTGTCGTGTTCTCTAATGTAAATCATGTTTTGTTCTCAGTGTTAATGGATTTACAGCAAATCACACTGATGTGAAATTCGGCTGTGGCCCTTCTCACTTTCCTTTTTATTTAGTAAACCGAGTTTTGATAAATGCTTTATATTGCCAGAGGCTGGGGACATTAAATTTATGGATCAAATGATCTCATCTGAAAACAATACCCCAGTAGGAACAGCTTCAACAGCAGTGGTCACATGGTGGCCTAGCTGCTTCAGGTGAAGTCTGAGCAACATGGTGGGGTGATGCTCTCTTCTTTTTAATACTTTTTATGTTATTTTATTTATTGTTACACATACGTGCATGTGTGCATATGTGTGTGTGTGTGTGTGTGTGTGTGTGTGTGTGGTGTGTGTGATATGTATGATATGTATGAGTGCAGGTGTGGGTATGCCATGGTGCCATACCTGTGGCGATCAGAGGACAGCTTTGAGGAGTCACTTCTTCCACGGTGGGCTATAGTAGAATATTTGAAGGTGTGTTTATGTTGTTTTGTTTATGTTGCATTTGTTTAATTCTGTGAAGCTGTGTTACTGTGCCTGCCTGAAACACCTGATGGTCTAATAAAGAACTGAACAGCCAATTACTAGGTGGGAGAAAGGATAGGTGGGGCTGGCAGGCAGAGAGTATATATAGGAGAAAACTGAGAGGAGAGATCCAAGATCTAGCAGCCAGAAGAGGAGGACTCCAGGGTCCAGTCACTCAGCTACACAGCAAGCCATGGAGTAAGAGTAAGATTTACAGAAGTTAGAGAAAAGGAAAAGCCCAGAGACAAAAGATAGATGGGATCAATTAAGTTAAGGAAAGCTGGCTAGAAACTAAGCCAAGCTAAAACTGGGCATTTATAATTAAGAATAAGCCTCTGAGCTGGGCGGTGGTGGTGCACGCCTTTAATCCCAGCACTCGGGAGGCAGAGGCAGGCGGATCTCTGTGAGTTCGAGGCCAGCCTGGGCTACCAAGTGAGCTCCAGGAAAGGCGCAAAGCTACACAGAGAAACCCTGTCTCGAAAAACCAAAAAAAAAAAAAAGAATAAGCCTCTGTGTGTGATTTATTTGGGAGCTGGGTGGTGGGTCCCCCCCAAAAAGAGTGAAACAAATAACAATAGTGGGCTGCAGAGTTTAAACTCAAATCCCCAGGCTTGTGTGGCAAGTGCTTTTGCCTAATAACCCATCCCACCAGCTCCTTTTCTCTCTTCTCAGACAGTAGAAGGTGGTCAGTGATCTCCAGTTCCAGTTGTCTGGACTGGAAACCGTTTAGGCAGGATTGAGGATCCAGAGATTCCCTTTGCTCAACACGAAGATCAAAGCTCACCTCTCTTCAGTGCACCAAGGGAGTCTCTGTTCTTCTGGGAGCTCAGTGTAAGCCAGAAGAGGTGGAGTGTGTGGGAGGTGGGTCAGTGGTCAGGAGGGGTGGCAGTTAGAATAGAAAATGGTGGTGGGAGGGATCTTAAAGGGAGCAGTGGGGTAGGGACCGTCTCCGAATGGCACTCCTTGTCACACCACACTTCCATTTAGCTATTGATGGGAGTGTCTTTTTGTATGCTGTGAAAATATGTTGCTCTGATTGGTTGATAAGTAAAGCTGTTTGACCAGTGGTGAGGCAGAATAGGGTTAGGTGGGACATTCTAACTAGAGAGGAGGAAGCAGAAAGGCTGAACAGTAGACGCAAGCCGCCGCCAGGAGAAGCATGATGTAAAGATACCGGTAAACCACCAGCCACGTGGCCAGGTATAGATTTATAGAAATGGGTTAATTGAAGATGTAAGATCTAGTTAGCAAGAAGCCTGAGCCATTAGGCCATACAGTTTTAATTAATATAAGCCTCTGTGTGTTTATTTGGGTCTGAGTGGCTGCGGGCCCGAGCAGGACTGGAGAAAACAAGTTATGCATGGAGAGAACAGTACCAGTTCCTTATTGCCATCACTAGTTGGTCACAGCTGCTAGTGATCGACGTAGCAAGTACTCACTGCACTGTAAGTGCACTGCTAAACTCTGCAGCCGTTGTTTTATTAAGTTCCCATAACAACGTACACTTGGGTTCTTTTCATTCCCCAGGATTCTGTATTCCTTTATTGTGCCGTTTAACTGTGTGCTAGGTGACAGGGTTGAGATGCTAAGCCAAACAGATGCAGTCTAGATGGGCCTGGAGTTGGGAAGTCAAAAGTTTAATATAATAATTAGAGGTATAATCTCACTAAAAAAATGCACACAACTGTACACTGTGCCTCGAGGGTTTGTGTATATAACTTTTGTTTTTGCTTGTTTGGTTTTGAGATAGGGTCTCTTTGTGCAGCCCAGACTGGGCTGGAACACACTTGGTAGAACAGGCTGGCATGGAATTTACAGAGACTCTCCTACCTTTGCCTCTCAGATACTAGGATTAAAGGTGTGTGCTGCCATACCCAGCTCATGTATCTAACTTTTATGGAGCACTTATTATGAACCAGGCCTTGAGCACACATGAAGGATACTGTTATAATCTCTGTTTCAGATGAGGAGATGCATAAGTCTCAGTGAATAACATGATAAATGATCAGATTGTGGAGATACGGCCTTATCTACTGTACTACCTAAAGGGTCACTGAGAACTTGCAGGGAGTGTCTGAGAGAAAAGCACCCCTGTCTGAGCCTGTCTTTTGTTTTCAGACAACTGGGCATCTCACCAAATTTGGCCTCAGTTGAGAAGTGACCGAGACAGGGCATGTTGCAAAGAGCAGATATTTCTTTTCTTCTTAAAATTATGTGATTACAATGATTGCACATGGATTTTCAACATTCTGCAACCTCACAGGACCCTTATGATGTGTTTTTTTTTTTTTTTTTTTTTTTTTTTTTTTTTTTTTTTTTTTTTT